CTTTTCCTTTTGCAATTCGGGAAATACTTGGGAATTTACGTGCGCCTTAGCGAGCGCACTGGGAATTGGGTCCGGCAGTTGGGATTTCCGGGATAAGCGGAACTTCGACGYGTCATTTTTGTGTGTGAATGTTCTCGGTCGCGTCGGRGAAAACTCTCRGAATTTTGCAAGGATACGAATAGGAGTAGGACTTTCTTTTCCCGCGTTGCTCTTTCGCRCGCGGATATGGTGATTTCAATTTTGAATTAGTTTAGGATGTAGGCGAACTGTAACTGTTTCGGTGCCTTTTTCTTTTGTTTTTTRTTGACGGCGTCACGCATGCAAAAACTTCCTCCTTTCTGTCCCCCGCATCGCTCTCTCCCGCGCTCCTTTTTCCTTCCCCCTCCTCCTCCTCTCTCCTCGTAACTGTTTTTCTCCCTCCCTTTCTCTCTACCGCTCAGTTCTTTGCGCGYCCATTTCCCCTTTCTTGATCATCTGAATCTTGGACCCGTCTTGCGCTACTTCTCGCGCCTTTTCTTCTCTCCGAGCAAAGCTCGTGAAGTCCGGTCGATCCTTCGATTACTCTCGCCCACCAATCAGACGCAGGGTACGGTAGGATCTGCCTATCRCGCAACGAGTCTGATTGGTTAATCTTGAGTTTCGAAGCATCAACATGGCTTYCGCAAAGTGCTCCTCTCAAAGTCTTCTTCTCTTGCTTCTCCTCTTACACTTTGACTTTCACCCTGCATTCTCCCTCCCTTGGCTCCCTCCTCACTGCTATAAATTTCGCAAGCTCGCCCGCAAATCTCTCTWACGTTCTCGACTCTCAAGCYWGCTTTCGGGAAGCAGTGGCTAGGCAGAGTGTTTGGTGCGAGTCGAAAAGTCYTGTCGGGCTGACGATAGGCTGGCCGGTTGCGCGCTTGATCGCCACGACGGACTGTGGGATYTGGGCGAACCGCGCCGAATTTACGTCAGCGGGGTGACGATCGYAGTGGTGGGAGTTAGCACGCGGCGRCAGGGATCATCGGTGCGGGTATGAGGATCGATGATTGGAGTTGAGTGAGTGATTGGCCTGGGGCCATATTGGAATTCACGACGAATGCGCCTTTGTTGTTGCGGATCTTTATCTCTGGTGTGAGTGTGCGGCGGCAACGCCGAACTTCCTCTTTTTGGATCTTGTCCCCTTCTATCTCCTTCTCTCCCCTCTATCTATGAATGATGAAGTGTCTCAATGTCTCTCTCTCTCTCTCTCTCTCTCTCTCTCTCTCTCATGGGAATGAGTCTGCATGTTGTTCCTGTGTGAAAAAACTTATTCCGGAACTCTTTCATTAGTTTCTTGGGTAGTCCCCTTATGCAGGAACCCCGCCTTTTTGTCTTGTGAACGGTGGATGCGCGTGTATTATTCAGTGATCCATCTTTTATCTCCGTGCATATCTCATTTTCGCACCTTCCACAGTGAATGTATGTATGAAGGTATGTGTCTTTTTGGAGTTGATTAGATGATTGTTGTCGGGATCTTGTCCGAGAATGCAAGATTGTTTAGATCTGTAATTCTGAGTGCGATGCGCATGCCATTTGCCTTATACTGCACGACACCTGCACCTGACCCAATTCATGAGTGTTTTCTCTCTCTCGTGATTAAAAAAGGATTGATTGGTGGTTGCGAAAGCGTTTCTTTCTTTGATGACGTCTTAGAGTTTTTGCAATTGATTGACATGTGGACTGACAAGCACCCTTCGATCGAGCGTCAGCCTTTCGTACCTCCCGTATCAACACGACCTTTTCCTTACAACGAGGAAAGAACGCGTGTATGTGAGTGGGACGTACGAGAAGCTGTCGCACAGATCGGCGTACGATACTACTTCCCTCCGACAAACCGTTGTTCAGGGTTCGTAGAGGCTGGGTTTGTGATTATCGACACGCACTTTCCACCCTACTCGATATTGTTGCCATTCAACGAGCTGATCGTCATTCCGTGGACGGCAGTAGCGCCTCATTGGCCTCGAACCCTGTGCACAGAGTGCCAGCGTTTCGATCGCTACGAAGCAAAGGGTTTCCACTACCGAATACGGAGTGAAGACGAGCATAAGGAAAAAGCCACGCGGTTGAGACCCTCCACATCAAACTCGGAACTGACCAGCGAGCGACGTCGGGATTCGATACGAAAACTAGACACGCGAAGCGTGCCAAAGCCCTTCCGCTCTTAACGACGGGCCGTAGCGTGGTGGGAAGCTCGACAATACTTTTTGGATTGAATTTGAATTTTTCTTTTTTCGCGCCGTGTCCGCGCGCGAATTCCGTGACGCGCGAAAGCAACCGACTTACTTCATCGGACCAGCACGGGGGATTTCAGTTCCGTCTGTGTCCCCACACTCAATTTCCAAAAATCCTTGGCACACCCCATCTTGCTGTTTTTCAGGGTCTCTTTCCGCACATCAAGCACTCCGAACGAAAGACAGCACAGGGCGTGAGGTTGCGCGTCACATCCCAAATGTCCTTTAACTGGAGTATACCTTTCGAAGACTTTATCCAACTCATTCCAAACTTTCCCGGTGCAGCTGTGGCCATAAAGCAATGACCATCCGCCTGTCGAATCACTGGATTGTCAAATAAAACTTGGTTTAATACTTTCTGCTTCAAACTTGAAGATGGACCAACGGTACGACAAACTTTGTTCCAGACCCCAAGGATGCTCCTCCAGGTTCTAGAGTTGGGGGTACAACTGCTGAAGGAAGATAACAGCAAGCGGGCCCAGACTCTAGAATGGTCTTGCAGTTCCCATTCGGTTCCTAATATATATTCAGCCAGAAGCATTCAAATCTTAGTCTTCATCGCCATCATGGCTAGGACCGGCCAATTTGCCAATAAGGCAGTGTAATTGTTCTGCTATAAGGGGTCTCGTATGCCTAGGCCTCCTTTCTTTCTTGGAGTCGCAACCACTTCCCATGCCACCTTTGGGAGGAACCCCTGTTCCTCTTCAACATTTAGCTTCCAGAGATACCTCGCTGACGCTCGCTTAATCTTCTTATAGGCTGCATCCCCCAAGTCGTGTATAGACAGCGGGAACCATAACAAGGAGAAGGCTGATGTCGTCAGTACAAGTGGCTTACCAAAGAGGGACAGGCGGGTTTGGCGTTCCCAACCTGCTATTCGTGCCACCACTTTATCAGTCACTAGATTATCTTGGACTACGGAACAATCTGAAAACGAGACTTGCAGACCCATAAATCAATCCGAAGAGTTAGCAGAAATCCGCCTCAAGCCCATTCGACACAAATCTGAAGCGAGGGGGGGGGAGAAAAAAACTTGACTTGTCCCAATTTATTGAGGCTTCAGATAATATGCAGTACTCATCTAAAACTTTACGCAACTCGCCCATTCTTACTATAATATTCTCACATGTCACAATCAAATCATCAGCTATAGCTCCGCCTTTCTTCTGAAAGGAGGGGGACAGTCTAAGACCCACAATTCGAGGATTGGTTCTTATATTAGCAAGTAAGATTTCCGATTGTAGAACAAAGATTAGAGGGGTCAGAGGGCAACCTTAACGAAGGGACCGGGAAAGTTGAAAATGTTCAGATTGCATTTCATTAACCAATACCGTAGC